ATTTACTATCTGTGTATTTCTTGGGCATGAGATTGACCATGCCTAGGCCTCCCATTCATCCCTCAAATAGAACATGCATAAATACAACATGATATTTTAAGCATGTACTTGATTGTCAGTGAATGGAAGTGATGGATGCTTTAGATGATCAAGCAGCAACAAGGGGGCTAAAAGGACAATTCTCTATCTAAATTATCAAAAGTCGTTTCTGTGAAAATAGATACTTTAATATATATGTATATTTTAATATATGAATGTCTATGTCATTTTGTTCTACATAACTTTCTTGTTCAGTGGAGAACTCAACCCACCCTAACTTCTCAAGACTTGTCAAATGTTTTTAATGTGATGATAGATTGGTTTGTGGGTATTGTTTATTTGTTTTGAGACAGAGTCACACTGTGTGTAACCCTGGCTGACCTGGAACCCTTCCTGTAGCCCAGGGTGGCCTTGAACTCAGAGATCCACCTGCCTCTGCCTCCCTAGTGCTGGGATTAAAGGCCTGAGCCTCCAGGCCCAGTTGATAACACCTTTGTAGTTGTTAGATTACTCCACTGTATTGCCTCCCTAACAAGCTATAAAATGACAGAGAAGTCCATACTGTTCCTGCAGAGAATCAGGAAGCCAGGAATAAATTTACAGGTCTCCTGCTGGACACCCTACAACACACATGCTCTGAGACCCTCATGTGATTCCTCTATGTGATTAGTGATGTGCAGTATCCAAACTTTTCAGTGGAACCTAAATTTCCACTCTGAAAGTTCTACCACAGTCTCTGAGGAAATCACTAACTGATGTTTATAATTATAAACAAAACCTACCCAAGAAACATTTGAAATGCTTTCCCTAGTCTTTTGTTCTCGGCAAGTCAGAGACTTAAAAGCTGATCAGATGTTTTGATAAACGCGCATTTCTTACTTCAAGGCATGTGAAGCTGATACTTCGTTTCCTTGTGCTTCTGTACCGCCTCTTCACCTTCGCATATGAACCATCATTCCCCACGGAGAGGTGGACTACACCTGCCTACCCAGTGACTGTGGAGAACTCCTCACTCCCGCCTCCATCCCCAAACACAGGATCCCCATAACGAACAAAAGGGCATTTATCCCACTGCTTTGAAGCACGGTGGAGGAGGGAAAAGAGCCCATTTGCAAAAGTGGGTCTATCTTAGACTTTTGAAAAAGATGCAGCTCCGGTCCTCAAATCCTCTCCCAGGCATTAGGATGTAACTGCTTCCGCCTGGAAGCCCTGCAAAAAAAAACAGTTCCTACAGGCAAAGTGTGGGGTACCCTGCCTCACAGCCGCTGAAGAGCCTGCCGCACCAGATTGGCAATGACGCCACATGGAGATAATATGAAAAGAAACAAGGACGAGAAGACAGCACCAGATATGTGCTCCTGTTCTTTACTGGTCCAAGAGGGTGGTAGAAAAAGAAAGAAAGAAAGGAAACAGAAATCCTAAAGTAGAGATAGTCAGTGGTCCGCTAAGCAAGGCACCTTCAGGACAGCCCTAAACCTTATTCTAGGCTGCAAGCGAAGATGTAAAAATTGGAAGTACGTGGAAAATCAACTTGGAGACATGGTAAGGCAAATTCTCCCACCATCACTACCACCACCAACCGAGTGCAAGTAAAAAACCAGCACTCAATGCTACTAAAAACTACATGGAGTTCGGGCCCGAGGTTTACATAATCACAAATTACATAATACTCATCCCGAGCACGAAACCCCCTTCTATAGGTGATGCTCTCCATCATCCCGTCGCTTGCCATTTTCCAGAGAAAGCCGGAAAAGTCTCCAATATCTGCGGAGGTAGAGAACGGGGTGCTGCAAAAGTCACCCTCGGCAAGCTGCAAAGCCATGTCAAATGTTCCAGGGTAAAGGGGGCTCGGAGCAGGTGACTCCCCTCCTCCCGCATCCCTCCCGGGCCGCCGGGGCGTTCAAGGCCGAGGCCGGGCGAGCGGGACGCACCGGGCGCCGCCGGGCTTACCTGCTCCCCGAAGTCGATGGCTATGTTGGTGATGCCGAGGGGCACCAAGAACCGGATCAGGGGCCAGTAGTGCGTGAGCGCCGGGAATTTCACCATAGTCCCCGCCGTGGGCTGACCCCACACTCATCTGCCGCCGCGAGGGCACTGTGCTGGGAGGCGCGCGGAGCGCGGCGCGGGGACGGAGGCCGCGGCCGGCGGGGCCTTGGGGCGGCGGCTGCTGGCGGCGGCGGCGCCCTCTCCAAGCGCGGCTGCTCTAGCAGGAGAGCCGCAAGCTCAAGTCCATCCCCGCTGCCCTCCCACACAACAAAGATCTGCCGGGGAGCAAGAGAGGAGGGACAGGGACGACCGCGGCGGCGGCGGCGGCGGCGGCAGCGGCAGCAGAAGCTTCTGCTGACAGCGGCTCCATTATAAGCGCTCTGGGCCCGGAAATAAATAAATAACCGCGCGCACGAGGCGCCTCCGCCGCCCGCCGCCGCCGCCGCCGCCGCGCGGAGGAAATCAGGGGCGGGCGGAGGCGCGACACCGCTTGGCGACCCGGGAGGGGGCCGGCCCGGCGCCGCCTCCCCGCCCCGCTGCGTGCGGCCCGGCCACCGGGGGCGCTGCGCTCGCACAAGCCGCCTGGGTCCTCTGGCCGCGTCGGACCCCGGCGCTAACCTCGGCCGGCCGGGCGCACGCACGGAGCGTGGAGGCGAGCCGGGACTCCCGGCTGCACCGGCTGGGTGACCCGGCACTGACGGCCCCGCGCTGTCCCTGGAGGGCCCGGGAAGGCAGAGTTGGGAACGGGGCGCAGAGCTCCGGGGACAACCGGGCTGGGAAGGCCCCGGTGTGTCCTGGCGGCCTCAAGACTGGCAGGCAGGTGTTTTAGATGGGGATGCTGCTGCCTCAGAAGGACAGAAGGAAGGTTTTGCACAATGAGTTTCTCCCTAGGGGTTTCCAGGGACGACGGAGATCTGTGGCCCCTGGGGAAAATACACCAGGTGGCAGGGACTGACTGGATGCCCGGTAGGCTCCAGAGCTAGGGTTCTGGGATGCTCCACACTGGCCTCCAGTTTTTGCTAGGAATGTGCAACTATTTATTCATGTAAAGCCAATTGGTAAATCTGCCTTTAAATTAGAAAGGAAAAAAAAAAAAAAGAAAGAAAGAAAAGAAAATCTGTTCGGTCGTGTTATAATATGCCCCTAGTGATTCCCTGATAAATTAGTTGCTGTGCTGAGACTCTTACCTAAAACTGAACGGCTTGACAAAGCCAGCATCACCCGGCATCCCATCACAGTGTATGAAAAAAAGGGTCCAAGGCAGTGAAGGCAAAAGGATTCACAGCAGGGCGGGGCTGGCCTTGTGGGCATGTCACATGTACAGTCACAAAAAGCTCAGCTCACAGCAAGGCCTGCGCTCGCTTTGGCACTAAGCTCTTGCCTTCTTTAAATTTTGTCATTAATATATATTTTTTAATTTTACTATTTTATGTGTATGGATGTTTTTGCCTGCATGTATGTCTGTGCACCATATGCATGTCCCGCGCCCACAGAGGCCAGAAGAGGGCGTTGGCTCTCCCGGATTACAGAAGTTTGTGAGCCGCCCTGTGGGTGGTGGGAGTGGAACTAGGGTCCTCTGGAAGAGCAGCCAGTGCTCTTAACTGCTGAGCCACCTCTTTCTTCAGACCCTGGTCTTGCCCTCTTGATATTACTAATTTCTGAACAAGGGGCCTTGGGTTTTCACTCTGTAGCAGTTAAACTAGGCAGTTTGTTCCACTTGTGCCTGCACACTCATCTTTTAAAATACGCATAATGAAATAAAGTGGTGTATTATTTAAAACAGTGAGCTATTTTGTGCTTAGGAATGAACCCATTCCCTTATCTCTGTAAGGCTTGTGTTAATACTGCATTTGAAGCTGAGGCAGAGGCAGGAGGATTGCTGTAAGGACCAGACCCAGTCTGGGCTGCATAATGAGTTCCAAGCCTGCCAGGACTATATAGGGAGACCTTGCCTCTGAAAACTAATTAAATACACAATAGAGAGATTGAGACATTAACTTTCTGATGCAGATATTTCCAACTCTATTGAAAGTGTTAAGTATTTCCATATTTGATGCCTTATGTCCCCTTCAGTTCTACACACTCTGAATGAGGCCTGCAAAAAGTAGGAAACTGATTTACCTGCAGCTCCATGTAACCCCAAATTACATCATGTGTAATTAAAACAAAACTTTGGTAATTGTTCATTGCGTTTGATATGCCAAACAGCTACCTTTAAAGGAGATTTTCCAGCAAAACAGGAAGATCTTGTGTACAGGACTCTCCTCAGGAGCAATTCCTGAAAGACATGTTTCTGTGTAGTCAGCTATTAAGTTAAGCGGACAGAAAGGGAACGGGTTATTTAAAGAAATCCACTGAGAAAGGCTTCTGTTCTAAAGCAAATATGGTCTGGTGGTTTACCCATTCTGTTAGTCTAGTTTTTGAAAGGCTCATTTCAATTAAAGTGGTCTAATTGTGTTGACCTCTGTCTGGGGTGTGAATTGATGAGGTCCTCGATCAATGTTCCTGAAGGCCAGTTTGCTCTCACTGGTCCCTGGACCAGGGCTGCCACATCTCAGCTGCAGTAGCAAATGCACACTCATGGTCTAAAGTGGACAGTGAGAAAAATCAGTTAAAGGCCATTGTCCTTGAGTATTTTTAATTGTATTTTTAACGAGTGAGTTAGTGTCATCTTTGATTAAGGCAAAGAACACTTCTTTAGACTTTCGGTGAATATGAATTCCAGTAACACCAGGGCAACTTGAAAAAGAAATGTAAGATTTAATCTGGTTTTTTGTTTTGTTTTGTTTTTTTGTTTTTTTACACTGCAGAATCACAATCAGAGCTTGAGAAATGGCTCAGCAGTTAAGAATGTTTACTCTCTCTGGAAGAGAACTCTGGTTTTGTTCCCAGCCACCAAGTCTGGTGGCTTGCCACTGCCTGAAACTTCGGCTCCCTGGGTTCCGGCGCCCTCTTCTGACCTCTGCAGGTACCTACACTCATGTGCACCCTCCCCCATAATTAAAAAGAAAACAAGTATTTTAGAAACTAGAATCATAATCAGATACTAGATTTATTTTCTCTGCCTGCTAGCCCCGCCTATCCTTTCTTCTGCCTAGCTATTGGCTATTCAGCTCTTTATTAGACCAATCAGGTGCCTTAGGCAGGCAAAGTGAAACAAATGCAACACATCTTTACATAATGAAACAAATGCAGCACAAACAAATGTAACACATCCTTACATGGCTAAACAAATGTGGCATAAACAAGTGTAACACACTTTTACACAGTTAAAGTAATATTTTGCAGCGTAAACAAATGTAACACATCTTTGCCTAGTTAAAATAATATTCCACAACAATGGTAATAAGTAGGAAGTTTTCTGAATTATGCAGAAACTGATATATCCCAGCAGTATGTAAATTAGGTTTAGAAGACAATATCTTGGGGACGGAACAGCTTTATTTTTTATTTATAAAGCCTTGTATTTGAACACTTTTAGCCATCATTACAAGGTTTACAAACCTTGTTACTGTTACACTGGTCATGTAACAGAAAAAAATCCTGAAAGAGAATATGCTCACTTATTAACAGTAGCTGTATTTGCATGGCATAAATATGAGCAAGAATTATTTACATTTCTCTGTGTTTAACAAAATGAGCAAGTATAAATCTATAAAGAGAGACTGTTTTAGAAGACAAGGTTTGGGTGAGACTGTCCCCCATATGATCTGATACTTGAATACTTGGTCCCAAGTTGGTAGTTCTGTTTGGAGAGGTTGTGAAATGTCGGGAGGTAGAGCCTTGCTGGAGGAAACATATCACTGGGGATGGGATTTGAATGTTTATGGTCTCCTTCTACTTCCTGTTAATTCTCTGTCTCGTGCTTGTCTTTGACAATCAAGTTTCTCAGCTTCTTGCTCAGCCACTACGACTGCTTGCTGCCGTGGCTCCCCACCATGATGGACTCTTACCCTCTGAAGGCTGAAGCCCAAATAAACTCTTCCTTCTATAAGTTACCTAGGTCATGGTATTTTATAACAACAGAAAAGTAACAAATACAAAGGTATTTATAAAACATTGAAGGCAGTATTGCTTTCAAAGTAAGGAAAAAGCTATTGTTTGAAAAAAATAGTTTCATGAATGACTAGTAATATTATCTTTTTTTTTTTTTTTTTTTTTTTTTGGTTTTTCGAGACAGGGTTTCTCTGTGTAGCTTTGCGCCTGTCCTGGAACTCACTTGGTAGCCCAGGCTGGCCTCGAACTCACAGAGATCCGCCTGGCTCTGCCTCCCGAGTGCTGGGATTAAAGGCGTGCGCCACCACCGCCCGGTGGCTAGTAATATTATTTTATTGCATAAGGTTATTGCTAAGCTCCCACCTTTTTTTTTTTTTAATCCATAGTTTTACTGTGTGGTCTTGACTGGCCCCATACTCAATCCTCTTGTCTCCCAAGTGCTGTGACTACCATTGTGTGCAATTTTTATAAAAATGTAATGCAAAAGAATAAATGTCACATACATGTCTGACTGACCTTTCTTTTCTGAATTAATCTTAAATGTGTAAGTTCAAATTGTCCCTCAACATATTTGCTGCAAATGAGAGACTAAAATACCAGGCTTAAGATTATCCAGTTTGGGGGCTATGTGACTGAGATGTCCTTGACTTGAGGGATCCAGGGACATCAGACTGGGATGATAGTGATGATGCTGGTTTGGCAGCAGATGCCATGAAGACTTGTGTATGCTCAACTTTCTGGCGTTACCTACATCTGTCATTGTAATTATACTGCATCCTGTGTTTAGCATAACCAAATTAGCAATTTGCTCTGATGGAAGCCTCAGTCCAAAGATTGATGCCTGATATTCAAATGAGTCACATGCCCCCTAAAATAGGGTAGACCAGATATACATTCAAGTCTCAGAGCTCTGCAGCTGGGCCTGGTGCCAGCTTGCTCTGTAGCTGATTTCAAGTGGGAGGAGAGGCAATTTCTGTAGACTGTGTGCATGTAAACATCAGCCTACTGACGAAGGTTGCCGCCCAGGTCTTAGTGGCTAGGGACAAAAGGGAGAACATTTGCTTCTTCCCAACTGGAAATTTTATGCATGCTATCCTTCTGTTGTTCTAGCCCAAAGCCTGATAATTAACCTGAGGGAATGATCAAAATTCGCTTTTGTGCTCCCAGCATGTGCCAGGTAGTTGGAGGCAGGAGGTAAGTGGTAAATTATCCCCAATTGAAATTTGCAGTAGATAAGCCAGAAGTAGTCAGATTAAGCCTGATGAGTTACAGTTCCCACTTCTTTAATATATTTAAGGGACCACATAGATGCCTCAAACTGCTGTGCTATTAAAAGGAAAGGGGATGATGTCTACCTACAGATATGGAGTGATCTGCAGAATAATTTGTTAAGTGAAAAAGCAAGGTGCCAAGACATAAAATGGCAGGCTACTTGGGTGCTTAGAAGAGAGAGAGAGAAGTATGACTGCTGAAGTCTTTAGATGCATGTGAGCCTGCTTTTATTTGCAAATTGATGCTGGCAAAATAAGCCCAAGATTATTTAAATGTGTGTGAGAGAAGAAAGAGACCGGGGAGGAACGGATAGAAGAAAGGCTTCTCTTAGTGCACCATGTTGTCTTATTTAAACTTTGGAAAACTTTCAGCCTTATACATCGAAAAATGAGAATCAAAAGAAAAAAGTATGGATACAAGGCAAAGTCATACAAGTTTTCTCTTGTTTATTCTGTATTTTTTTTTTCCACAGGAAGGATTCAGGGCAACTTCAATCAAAGCTCAGTTTTATGCCTTGCGTGGCTTTTTAGATTTGTATTTTCCCTATAATTGCTAATCAGCAAAACATTTGGAGAGACTCTTGCTAGGTTAATTATACAACCTGTTGGCTTTGTATGCTGGTGACTATTAATTCACTCCTGCCCTTAAAAAGTGGTCTGAAGACAAAAGTCAGTTTGGAGTAGATGCTACTGTTGTTGCTCCAAGATGTCGCCACCAATGACAATGACGTTGAGAATTTTGGAGATACATTAGCTGGTAAGTTGCTGCTTTGCTCATGCGGAGAAACAGAAAGGAAGGGCTGTGCAACTCCTCCTCAGCTCAGGCAACTCTTTCTGAGCGGAATGAGACGAAGAGGTAGCAGTGGGACTGACGTGCAGTTGTGTTTCATCCCTCTAGTCCTGCTCTTGTTCACCTTCTGCCTGCTGCATTTCACTGGCCACATAATATAAAATGCCCGAGATTTAAAATAGTTAGTGATGTTTACATTTTGAGTTCTTGCAGTAGTATGACTTTTACAAAGATTTCTTGTGTAACTCACTTTGATCGTTCGTTTTCTGTTTTTTATTTGACCAAAAAAAAAAAAAAAGCTGCATTAGTCCCTGTTTCCAGTGTATAGTTCTGCACAAAATATTACATTATCTGATGTGGGACTTACTTACAATAGTTTTTTAACTATCTCTTACTGCTTCCCCACACTCTAATATACTAATAGATATAAAAACATTTATGTTTGAATTGAGTCTTCCTTGAGTTTTCTACGTTTAATCTCCGGTGTAACAAAGTGTTATCTTTTCCATCACATGGTTAGTGCTGATCGGGCTGTATCGTCTTGTGTTAACACATAGGAAGACTTGCCTGTTTTCGAGGCTTTCTTCTTAAGAAAAAGGAGGACAAACAAGGACTCTTTGGCTGGGCACTGCATCTCAACCTGATCTGCTTTTCCTCTTTGGAATGGCATCAACTCATTAGATGAGCGAGGATGCCATGCCACTTGCACTCCACCCAGCTCACCTCTGTATTCTTAAACTCCACCAGAGGACTTTTTGCACTTGAAATTATGTTATGTCAATGTGTTAGCTCACTGCTAATTAAATGATTTTGCTTATGACTCAATAGATGGGCAAGGTGCTAATAAAATCACTCTTTTCCGGCTCTTTGTAGATCAGTTAATTTTGTTATAGTTCATCTTGCAGCATCTTTTGAGTGTCTACTTATGCTAGGCATATTGTAAAATGCTCGGTATATGATGATACTGGACAGAACACAGTTCTTTCCAGATGGGGAAAAATATGTCTCTGATTACTCCTACTCAATACTCAGTGATAATACTAGTCAATGCAATTGGCATGCGAAAGAAATAAAAGGCACACATTTAGGAAAAACAAACAAACAAAAAAACCACTAATTTTTGAGCCGAGTAAATACCTATAATGCCAACACTCAGGAGGCTGAGGTAGGAGGCTGCACAGTGAGAGCCTGCTGTAAACAAACACCTGATTCTTTATTTGCAGATGATGTGATAATTTATGCAGAAAGTCCCAAAACTTCTGAAAGGAAGCTGTCAGACTGGTGTGTGCACTTATCAAAGTCATAGAATACAGCATCATAATATCAACCCTCAAAATAATCCTGTGAGAATGAGACTCTGTATGTGTAGGTTGAGGCATTAATACAAAGAGGAGCCAAGTACAAATAATCTAAAGTATCATAACTGGTGTGCAACGAAGTGATACCCCAACCCTGGTACTTAAAAATATACCAATTGTTTTGCCAGGGTTCTTGAACTTCACATGCTTGAAATGCAGAATTTCAGTCCTTGCCCACAGATTATGACTCAGACTCTAGAAAGGGTTCTTTCTGGAACTTCATTCTTACAAAAAGGCCAGGAGGTTTTGAGGCAGGGCATCCAAAAAACTACGCATACATGCACTGTATATTCTGTGTGCAAACAGGAGTCCTACTGTATGCACAGAGTGTTTTAGCTCTCGGTGAATGCCTGCAACCTCATATAGCACCAACACACACACTTCCCTGTCTTCCTCTTTCTTAAGAAGAAAGCCTCGAAAACAGGCAAGTCTTCCTATGTGTTAACACAAGATGATACAGCCTGATCAGCACTAACCACGTGATGGAAAAGATAACACTTTGTTACACTGGAGATTAAGCATGAAAAACTCAAGGAAGACTTCACATACACACATCCCTGTGATAGCATTTAGTTATTAATTAGGTACAGGAAGAAATTAACAATAACAAACTAAAATAATTATAAAGACATACTCTGATAAAAGTAAAATGAATATGGTGTCTCTCTCTAAATTTTTTTCCTTCTGTGAGATAAAATTCAGGGTAGCCTGAAACTTACTATATAGTTCAGGTTGTGCTGGGATTTGAGACAGTCCTCCCGAGGTCAGTCAGCGGCCACACCTGGCTTTCTTGGTTCTTGGTTTGAGATGGCAATCTTATAACTAACCCCGGGTGGCCGAAACTCAAGCTTCTCCTTCTTCTGCCTCCCAGTGTTGCTGGGATTGCAAGCACCTACCACTGCACCCAACTTCAAAACAGCTAAATCACCAGAAGATGTAGTGAGGTGCTAGAAGAAGCTAGAGGGGCTGGTAGCATCCACAGCTGAGAGGGGAAGCAGTATCATAAAAGGCCAACCAATGGTCCTCAACCTATGGGTTGCGACCCCTGGGGTTGGACAACCCTTTTACAGGGGTCATCTAAGACCATCAGCAAACACAGGTATTTACATTACCATTCATACCAGTATCAAAATGACAGTTATGGAGTAGCAACATAATAATTTTATGGTTGTGGGTTACCACAGCATGGGGAACCCTATTAAAGGGTAGCAGCCTTAGGAAGGTTAAGAACCACTGCGCCAAGCCCCTTGTGAAGCCCACAGCTGAGCTGGAGATTCAGCTCTGTGGAGAGGACCTGCAGGGAATGCCCAGCAGCACCATAGTCCTGCAGCCTCACAGGATGGGTATAAATAGCATGCATGAGAGAGCAAGCAGAGCCTGGGCTTGAGTCCAGAGCTCAACAAAGGCACCAGAGAGCACACACGGGTAGCAAGCAAAGGATCACTGAAGCTAGGGAGAGACGTGAGGGCAAAAACATTCACTGCCCATTTTATTGTTATCATTGATATAACTCATGGGTTCTTTTCCTTGGGAAAAGTGCTGTGCACACTGCATGCATGATTACATGCTATCCTTGCAAGCCCCCATGGTGGGGGGTCATTTATCACCCCCATTCCGCAGATAAGGAAACTGAGGTTCATAGAGCTTAGAGGCAAACCGCCATACATTACCACTGAACTGGAATTAATTTCCAAAGGCTGTTTCGCCTTGTCTGCGTTTGTTTCACACTGCTCTGTACAGCAGTCTTGGGAGAAGAGGCAGACGTCAGACTGTGCCAAAGCTGCAGCCATCAAGGCCACCGGCTGGGACAAACGTGGGGACAGCTTTGACAGGGATTGCACAGCTGTCTCCCAGTGCAACATCATTGGTGATGGATTCTTCGGTTTGGGATTTGATTTTTATTATTTGATCTTATTATTATCATTAACTGTCAACCTGACATAGCCTAGAATCACCTGAAAAAGGCGTCTGTCTGAGTTCAACAATGATCTTCCTCGGGTTAGTCTGTGGGCATAACTGGTAAGCGATGGTCTTGGTTGTCCTCATTCATGTAGGAGGACCCAGTCCACACCGGAGGGCAGGTTTCCTGGGCTGAATAAGAAAGCTAGTTAAGCTGAACTAGAGAGCAAGCCAGCCAGCAGCGCTCCTTTGTAATCTCTGCTACAAGTTTCTGCTTCCGTTCCAGCTCTGACTTCCCTCCGTGATGAACCGTGACCTGGAAGTGTAAGTAAATAAATCTTTTCCTCTCCCTAAGTTGCTTTTGGTCAGAACAGAAATGACACTAGAACATTTTTTTTTAAAGACAGGCTCTCCTATAGCCCAGGCTGACCTTGAACTTACTGTGTAGCCAGAGATGACCTTGCTTGAACATCTGATCCTGCTTCCACCTTTCATGTGTTGGAATTACCACATACCCAGCCTGCAATGTAGTCTCTTTTTTTGTTTTTGTTTTTCATTTGTTTGCTGGTTTGTTTGTTTATTTCAAGACAGGGTCTCACTATGTAGCTCTAGCTGTCCTGAAACTTGCTATGTAGACCAAGCTGGTCTTGAACTCACAGAGATCTGCCTGCCTCTGCGTTCCAAGTGTATGGTGATATTTTATTTATGTTCTAACAAAAAAGTTATCTGAGGATCAGAGAACAGAACAGCCACTAGATTAGACATAGAGGCCAGACAGTGGTGGCACACACGCCTTTAATCCTATCACTCAGGAGGCAGAGATCTGTCTGGATCTCTATGAGTTCAAGACCACACTGGGAACAGAGCCAGGCACCAGGCATGGTGGCACATGCCTTTAATCTCAGCACTTGAGATCTCATGTCTTTACTTGTGAAGGACACATGCCTGTAATCCCAAGAAGTGATGGCAGGAAGCAGAAAGGTATATAAGGTGTGAGGGCCAGGAACTAGCAGCTTTTTAGCAGCAGTTCAGCTGAGATCCATTTGGGTGAGGACTCAGAGGCTTTTAGTCTGAGAAAATAAGATCAGCTGAGGAGTTGGCAAGGTGAGGTTGGCTGTGGCTTGTTCTGTTTCTTTTGTCTTTCAGTTTTTACCCCGATATCTGGCTCTGGGTTTTTTATTAATAAGACCTTTTAAAATTCATGCTACATTTGGCACCCAGCATGGAGCTTGCCACACAAGTGCTGGGTTTAAAGGTGTGTGCCACCATGCTGGACTCCTACAATGTATTCTTTATAGCAATTGTGCTCATTTGTCCTAAACTACATGAAGGTATCTTTGTTGGTTCTTTTGGTACCATATATAAGAAAAATCAGTTTAAATAGTTGGTTAGGGTGAATACAGGTTGCCTCTCCTGATACTCATGTTAGTATTAAATCCCCACTGTGAAAATAAAAAGATGAAAGTTTAGAGCAACTTTGGTATTTAAGATGACACTTTTGTGAATTGATTACGATTAGATAAGGTCATCAGTTTGGGCCTCCACTGAATCCTTGTGTGCTCCTTGTCTCTTGCAATGATGTGCCTTGTGATCATCTTGGTATTTTGCCACAATAAGACCTTAACAGGTACTCAATCTTGAATCAGAACTATGAACAAAATCAACCTAGCCTCAAGCATTTTGTTATAGAAGTAGAAAACAGACTTATAGAAAACTGGCCAACATGAAAAGAGAGATTGATTATGAAGATATAGATGTGTTCTGTGGAACCCAAGTGAAAAACACAGTGACCTTCAGAAGGGAAGGGACTAGAACCAGGTAATAAAACATTGCTAGGACTCTCTCTGAATCTCCAATCATCATTTTATCCTTCTCCTCCTCTTCCTCTTCCTCCTCCTCTTCCTCCTCCTCCTCTTGTTTCCTACCCTATCCTGCTACCTTCTACATTTCTGGTCCAGATCCTAGGTAGGTAGTGACAATGCCCATCTCATAGTGTCATTAGGCCTCTTTTGCTACTATGTGTGTATTTGAACAAAGGGACCTTTGAGTAGCTCAGCTTATGGATGAGTCAGGAGGTGGGGTCATGCTGTCCACTGTGACTGCTGGGTACTCATGAGAAGGATAGCTACATGCATAACTCAGCAGGCATGATATACATGGCACCCTCCTCTTTGGTTTTGAAGAATTATATACACACATTGTATCATATGTGGGTTTTCAGAGATACTCTACCTAAGAAGACCCAATTTTTCTAGTTACAACTGCATACTACATACTTTGCAGATAGAAGATCACATCCAGTCACTCAGCAACACTCAGATGCTAACACCAGGGTGCACAGATAATCATGACTTTCTCTGTAGAAAGGAACATTAACCCTTTGATCACATAAATTGATATTCTCTGGTTCTAGGAATTAGCAATTAGATATATTTAGAACATATAATTAGATTATTATAAAAATCACTTCACTGAAATGATAATGGAATTAATTTTAATATATTTTCTTTAATCAAATATTTCAAGATCTTCTTACAACATCTAATAAATATGCAAACATCAATGAGATGCTTTGCATTCTGTTTTCCTATTAGTGTTGAAAATTTT